ATAAAGTTTTTCACTCCGACTTCGATATTTCACGGAAAAAAATTTTATTTTCCATCAAGCCACCACGTCTTGCTTATTCTTACAGAACAAAACAGCTATTTTGGGAAATTAGTGATAAATACTTAATCTGATGTTTAATATTGTACAAAGTGAAATAATAAATAAATGAATTATATATATATACATATATATATATATATATATATATATATATATATATAATGTATGTATACCATAAAAAATGTAACCGAGAGTAGTTATTACACTTACATATTCTTACTCCTCTATCATTTTCCATATGATGTATATTTTATCTGAGTCTTTTCCCAAAGATCAATGTACAAATGTATTTATAACTAGTTGGTATTGGTATTTTGCCTTGAACGTGAGTAACATGAACTTCCTATTCATGTTCTCACACATAGAAACACACACAATGACATTGGTCTCATTCGATTCAGAATGGCTTGAAACATCGAGAAAACATAAAATTAGCGAATCGGATTTTTTGATGAGAACATAAACTTCTCCTTCGCGAAGTTAAAAATGAAACTTGATATAATGATAGGTATGCTAAAACTCGAAAACAGCTGCACCGATTTGGCCACTTTTAGTCTTGAAATATTCGTGCTAATCCAGAGATTGTGGGAAAAGTAAGAAATTATATCAAAATTGCGTAGAAACTTTATATTTTTAATATATTTTTCATGACCATTTTTGGATTCTCTAGAAATTGTTTAGGAATACCTTATATGATAAAACAACCTATGCCGGGTTAGCTAGTTATGTTTTAGTTTATGATTTATAACATTTGAATAATCCTTCCGATACCCATGTAACTTCTACTTCATCTCTTTTTCCCAAAGATCAATGTACAAATGTAATTATAATAAATTCCAATTTCCATCTTACCATAATCTATGTCAGTAATTTATTTTCCCATTTTCTCGGGAAAACGTACCTACTATATTACGTTGTATTCATAATATTACATTAACAACGGATGTATGAATTTTTCATTTTCCATATTATTTTCTTTGCATACGCATCTAGTAGGTAGTAATTTTAAAATGTCATGCTAGATAATATCATAAAAGTAGACGAAAATTTGCATCGTTATTATGAGATGTCATGGGTTTTAATGATAGTGGAAATGGAGAAATTTCTCGAGGAAAAATTATTTTTGAGATACAAAAATTTGTAGGGATAGAATCTTCTTGTAAAATATAATAATTGGTTTGAGGTGAGTGGAGTAATAGACATAAATTCAACTCTACAAAATTCTTTACCAAAAGCTTCCTGGCTAAATTATACGGAAACCAATAAAATTCTCCCATCATCCCATCAATCATACACCTATTCTGAACAAATTATTCTACTCTAAAGCATTTTATTCGTATGGCAAATGACGTCAACTCCTATTATATATGATATATTCAGGAGTGGAGAAATTGTGAAGAGTTTCTCCATTATCTGCCCTTAAAACCTGAAGTGTATTATTATTTTGCTGAGAGTATAATAAGACACTCAAAATTTTCATGTTTTCTTATCACTCTTTGAGGATCATCTTATATAATTGGGATTCGTATTTGGAAATGCTAAGGGTAATATGGATTAAGATCTACAAGATTTATTCGGCATTTTGAGAAGCGGTTTTGAATATGCAAGTTAGTTTTGTTTTTTTAATATTTTATTTATCCATATTTGTTTATTATATTTAAAGAACCTCATTTTCCTAATCTTTAAAAAATTACTCAATTTTTATACAGCTTGTATATTTTCAAAAAGAAAACTATTATACTACTGCTTGACATCAGGCTGTTCAAGGTAGATTGAGTACCTGGCACGTCTTTTTCTAACAACGTTTCACTTCGATATTTTTATATTATTTATTATTTTTATTAGACACGTGTATCAAGTAATATACTTGCAATTTTATGAATCATCGCCTCCGATATTTACAATGTGTTTTATGTGTTATTATATAGATGTTGTAAAATTTATGTAATTTCTTTATATACACTCATTGATATGTAGGGAAAATGCAAGGAAAATTATTAGAAACAATTGAGAATAGATTTAAAAAATAAAAAGGATAATAATGGTTTTTACAAAATGAAATGAAAATATATAACGTAAATGATATTTAACATTTTATTAATTGCAGAGTTTTCAGATAATTTGCAGAAGATTTGCAATATTTTCAAAATATTTGCAACATTCTTAGACAATTTGCAACATTTTCAGACTATTTAAAAAGTTTTCAGACTAATTAGAATATTTTTTGGCAATCAATAGCATATTCAGCCTATTTAAAATTAATTAATTAATTAATAAAAAAATTGGGCTATCTAGAATATTTTCAGGCTAATTGGAACATTTTCAGTCTAATTGGAACATTTTCAGTCTAATTGAAACATTTTCAGTCTAATTGAAACATTTTCAGGCTATCTAGAAGAATTTCAGGCCATTTAGACCATTATCAGACTATTTGAAAAAATAAGAGTATCCAGAACATTTTCAGGCTAACTGGATTATTTTCAGGCTAACTGAAATATTTTCAGGCTATCTAAAACATGTTCAGTCTATCTAGAACAATTTTACGCTATTTAGAAGATTTTTTGGCTATTTAAAAAAAATAAAGCAATCTAGTACGTTTTCAGGCAAAGTGGAACATTTTAAGGCTAATTGGAACATTTTCAGGCTATCTAGAAGAATTTCAGGCTATATATAACATTTTTAGACTGTTTAAAAAAATAAAGGCTATCTTAAACATGTTTAGGAAAACAGGAACATTTTCAGGCTAATTAGAACATTTTCAGGCTGATTGGAACATTTTCAGGCTATCTTGAACAATTTTAGGCCATTTAGAAGATTTTTAGGCTATTTAAAAAAATTAAGGCTATCTAGTACGTTTTCAGGCTAAGTAGAACATTTTCAGGCTAAGTAGAACATTTCCAGGCTATCCGGAACAAGATCGGGTTTTTTAGAACATTTTTAGGCTACTTAAAAAAATAAGACTATCTAGAAATTTTTCAGGCTACGTAGAACAAATGCAGGCTAATTAGAACATTTTAATACTATTTAAAAAAATTATGATTATCTAAATTATTTCAGGCTAATTGGAACATTTTCAGGCTATCTAGAACAAAAGCGGGCTTTAGAATATTTCCAGACAATTGAAAAATAATAAGACTATCTAAAAGATTTTCAGGCAATCTAGAATATTTTCAGACTATCTAAAATATTTTCAGACTATCTAGAACATTTTCGGGCTATCTAGAACAATTTCAGGCTATCTAGAATATTTTTAGACTATTTAAAAAAATGAAAGCTATCTAAAACGTTTTCAGAATAACTGAAACAATTTCACACTAACTGAAACAATTTCAGGCTAACTGAAATATTTTCAGATTATGTAAAACAATGTCAGAATATCAAGAACATTTTCAGAAAATCTACAAAATTTTCAGACCAACTAGATCATTTTCAGGCCACTTAGAACATTCTCACTCTATATAGAAAATTTTCACAATATTTCCAGACCACCTAGAACATTTTCAGCCCATGCAGAACATTTTTAGACTATCTAGAACATTTTTAGGCTACCTAGAATATTTTCAAAATATCTAGAACATTTTAAGAATATCTACAACATTTTGAGATCATTTACAACATGTTGAGATCATATACAATATTTTCAAAATATCTAGAATATTTTTAAAAAATATGTGAACTTTTGGAGAACTAACATAATTTGGTTCATTTAGAATTAAGAAAAATATATCAGATTACTAGTTGAATATCAGTTTTAAATAGTAAAATAAGGACAACTTATGAATAAAAATACTGATTCCTGAAAAATATTTCTATTTACTCTGGTATCCTCTATATTGTTATAAATATGCCGAAACAGATAACGTGAACAATTACGACTTTTATGCTTCTAGTAAAAATATAAATATTTTCACGCGTTATCAAATATTATGATGTAGGTACTCTCATAAAAATATCAATATGACTAAAATAGGAGTGTTTTATGGATTGAGATAATCTTCTCGCATTTATAAATACCAAAGGAAAAACATCATAAAATTATCCAGAAATAAAACATATGCATTAACAAATAGATCAATTAAGTCGCAAAAGGAAATGAATTTTGAAATTTAGTCAAAACAGCATAAGACCGAAAGTTTTTGAACTTTACCAGACACTAAAAATGAGGTTTATAAAATTGAGGAACTTAAATGCATATTTTCACGTCAATTTTCATATTACTTTTAATAAAATTTAAAGATGAATTAAAGTTTCATAACTTAGTCTTGAAAATAATTTTACTAATAAAATTATGAGAAAACAATCTTTGGAATGTGTAATGTCCTGGACACGATTTTCCAACATTTTTTTGTATTTTAAACCATTAAAAATCTTTAGATGTATTTAAATCTTCAAATACCTTACATCAAATAAAAATCACAGATCAAAGAAAATTAAAACCAATAATTTGTCAAGGAGAGTACGTTGATCTGCCAACTTGACACCATCCTAAGTATTTATTTATATATATATATATATATATATATATATATATATATAGGGTGGTCCTTAAAATGGTGATTTTTGAATTTCCTTGTTCCCAGGGGCTCAAATGGTTCCAAACAGATAAAAAACAATTCTCTAAAAGTTTTAGCTCTTAATATTAACGTTTAGATAAAGCGCAATTCAATCAAAGTTTTGTATGGAAATAGCATGGAAAATTTTCAAAAATTTTAAGAAAGTTTTTTAGATGTAATTTAGCAAACAAATAAATGAATAAAACTCATTCATTCAACTAAGTTATACCTAAAACATTTTTTTTAAATTTTCAAAATTATTTCCATGCTATCTCTATACAAATCTTTGATTGAATTGCGCTCTATCTAAACGTTAATATTAAGAGCTAAAACTTTCAGATATATAATTATATCGTATATATAATTATTAATAATTTATCATCTTACCTCGGCTGCTGGATTTCTTCTCGATCCCCGAAGACTAAGTCTTTGCTTCCAATCTCGTCTTTGAAAAGGTTGTGTAGCCATATTGAGGTCTTTTAAAAAAGGCCTTTAATCACAATCACTATTTAATCACAATTTTATAATATCCTTCATTATTATATTTACACGAAACCATTTAGAACCGTTTCTTTGAAGTCACTGAGTTGAAATTCCCATTTTTTTTGGAAAATAATTAATAAGTTATATTACGTTACGTATATTCAACAAAATTCATACTTTTGAAGCAATTTGAAGTAAGTCTTACTAAATAAAATAGAAAATCACTGGATTTTTTCAGTCGACAGCCTAGGTTTGCCTTCGGGTGGATCTGAAACAACAAATGCTATATTTAGTAAATTAATATTTATAATTTTACTTATAAATTAAATGAATTGCATAAAGGATAGAAAATAAATTCTATGAACAATTACATTCACTATTATTCATCGTTTTAGGTACACTTCACTATTTCTTAATTTTTTTGTTCATAATTTATAATTAAACCATTGTATATATTTTATAGAAGTATTTTTTCACTCTTGTAGATTGTATTATAAAATTACTTCAATTTCAACTTTGCTTTTTATTCAGTTTTGAAACAATTTACTGTTTTCGACTCGATTTTGATGTAAAGTGATTGATTAAACAATTAAACAATTTTTTTATTAATTAAAATTGAAATATCAGTTACTAATTCACATGAGTTGTGAAAGAAGAGAAAATTATTTAAGCAAACGTAAGAAAACTTATTAAGTTAAAAAAATGTAAATATTCTATAAAGATTTTGAAATTAAATTAGAAACTTCAAACTGAGCTCAGAAGTTTTGTTTTAATCTTGTTCTTGAAAAAAAAAACATAAACTTTATTATGGCATGATACATTATATGACTTTTACAACGTCATTGTAAAAAAGTAATTTTAAGGTAATCTAGCATATATGTAAAAAATTGATTATTTATTATAATTGACTCCATCAAATGAATTGGAATTAATTTTCATAAGTAGGACAATGATGTCTTTTTTGTGAACATCTTTCATTGAATTTTGATCAGGACTTTCCTGAGCTCATTGAAAAGCTCATATTTTTCTGCTGAAATCGACTTTGTTTTTCGAACCTAGCTGCAAAAAAATGTAAGGCTTTAAATTTGATAATGAAAAAAGTTCATTAAAATTCGTTAAAAATTGTTAAAGTTATTTCATATTTTCATTGGCCACATAAAAATGGCGCACTCTACATATTGGTCAAATTATCGATCGATTCTAGCATAATCTGATATGCCAGATTGTTACATAAAATAAATATTTTTCATAATGGCTTGCAGAAAAAGCAAAAGAATTATAATCTAAATATACAACTAGTTTAAAAAAAATTATATGTCTTATAATTAGGAAGAAATTATATGAGGGATGCGTTGTAGTGGGTAAACCAAACAACTCGTGTTAGATGCCTCTTTTACTTATTTATCACATAAGTAAATAATATGGCTAAATAATGTTTGCCGGGCTAGCTAGTATATATATATATATATATATATATATATATATATTCTAGAAATATTTATTTGCAGCCAAATCGTCGAAGTAAAAAAGCAACAAATGTTGATCTATTTATTTAGTACGTTTTGACACGGTATGTGTGTCATCATTTTGGAAAAAACCTTTTTCCTGGTGTGGTATCGAGTTAGTTTTCATTTGTTTCTTCTTTCATTTAATTTTTCAAACTTAGCAATAAACTCTTTTAGAAAAAAATTGCTGAATGATGACACACATACTGCGTCGATTTGGCTGCAAATACACATTTCAAGAATATGCCTCAACGTCGACCAAAAAAAAAAATCAAAAACTTATTTATATATACATATATATATATATATATAAATTATATAGCTGATTAATTTTTATCTTTTGCTATTTTATCATTTACTATAATTTCCATACAAAATTCTGGTCGCAAGAAAATTTCCATCAGTCCCTCGGCAGCTTTATTGGCGCGTTATGGAAAATCAACTATTTTGCATACCGCCAGCACAAACAATTATAAATTCCCCCGATTGAATGGAAATTAAAATTTTCCACAGTTTTCCATCAACTATGTTGTCACTTTCCTCCCACGACCAATATGAAGAGTAACTTTATTAATTCTGACAGATTACTTCGGTCGAGAATTTCTTAGTAGAATAATCGGTCGGTCGATAAACAAATTACGACGCCCCAACAAAGACTATTTGTTTTTAATAGACACTTGTCTTAGAATATAGTTGAATTTGATTCGACGAGGCGTAAACTATTATTAGAAACGTCTGCTACATAAGAGACAACTTTTACACTTTTTAAGGGAAAAGAAGTTCTATAAAAATGGAAATAATGGCTTTTAAAAAAACTATGGTACCGATTCTGCCGCATAACAGACTAATGATATGGCAAAGCTATGTTATGAAGAACTTTCCATACTAAATAGTGACAAAAGCCATGTGGTTTCTGTGCAGCCAGGCGTATTTCTCATGTTATCAGACAGAAATCCCAACCTAGAAACCGCACAAATGTCAAAAAAACGATCTTAGATAACAGGGTGTTTCTGACCCAGCTTCATAACATACGAGTGACATTGCAGTTTATGTGTAAAACACCTGAATGCACAGCAAACACACGACATTTTGACAGTATTCAGTTTGATTCAGTAGCATAATGTATGGAAGTTGGAGCGTAATATGGCCTTGCCATTACATTTGTCAATAGATAAGGATTTAAAAAATATTTAGTGGCCGTAGCGGGGTGTAGAACTTTTTTTTCAAATACTTTGCATATCAGATATTAGTCATTTTGGACTAACTTAGAGGAAACGATTACTATGTGTATTTGTGTGATTGTGTGTGGATATAATATTTTTCGAACTGTCTTAATTTTAAACTTCCTGTAGGGTAAGTTATAGTAATCACAAAAAAACGAAAATGACATTTTTTTATATATTTTTACGTTTCAAAGGTTTCTGAACATTTTGGCATAACTTACAAAAAAATTGATGTGTGTGTTTGTGTGCGGATACCAATTTTTGTCGACGATTTCGAAAACACGGATCAACTGAATTAAATGATTCGAAAAACATTTGATTCCTATTGATGTGCTGATTAGTTTTTGGCAATGCCAAGTCCGGCCGTTTCGGAGATACGGAGCAAAGAGTGCCAAAAATGGTAATTCAGTTTTTGAGAGAACCAATGGTCCGATTTGAATGATTCAAAGAACGAAAGCAAAACAATTACAAACTAACTATAATGGTTGAAATCATAGCCATTACATATTTTTTCTGGATTCTCAAAGTCGCTATCAATCTTCTATTTATAAAAATGCACAAAGCATCTTACTTCACAAAATGAAATTCTGAAATATGATTTAAAATTCATAATTAACACCGCTTTTAATTTTATATCATTTGTGCAAAGTGTACATCATCTACTTTTATATTGCAGCTAAGGTTTGCCATAAAGATTTTAATTCTAATTACCTTTCAAGAGAAGTTTAATTATAAACTCTGAATTATAGAAAGTTTTAATAAAATGAACGTTAGGTATTATACGAGACGTTATCAATTAAAAAAATGCGAGCAAAATAGAAATCTCTTGGGATAGTTTTAATCCACGACAAACAAAATCAGTAGCGGTAAAAAGTTTAAATTTTTGTAATATTATGTATAATGAATATAAGTAAGTTAATCCTTCCTTTGATGTATGTATTTGTTCATGTTCTTCTCATTTGAGCTGATAAATTAAATGACTGAAATTCCATACATGGGATTTTGCTTTGGAGCAAAATTTAGCGCAAACATAAGATTATAAGACTTTGTTAATTGCTCTAAATAGACTTCTCGGCAGACGAGACATATATTTAAATCCATGTGTAAAAGTCTCACATACTGGGTGTACCAGAAAAGACTACAGGGTGACATAATTCATGACAAAAACCAGAAAAAATCTATCTCATCTATTTAGGAGCATTTCATCAAATCAAATTTTAATAATGTTATTGTAAGCTATTGCTAAATATTTATTTAGATCCATTATCCCCAAAACCCAAAATCATAATATCATATCACAAACCACAAATAATCCCCTACTAATCTTTTGCCAAAACATACGATAGGTGATTCCATATATTCGCTGAATTAATTTATTAAAATGAAGTCTATGAACAACAATGGTTTCCGAATTAATTCTACTCTAATTCGCTTTCGTATAATTATTCCAAATAGTCGAAAACAGAAATTCGAAATCTCGATGGAAAATGTCTGAAAAGGATTATACATGTAAAACCACCCTTGTAATATATAATGTGAACTTGAATTTTGGAATTCACACATTTATAGTGAATAACAAATCTGAAGTAGTAAAAATGTGGTTTCCTAAATAATATTTGAAATCAATTTGCGCTTTATTTTTTTTAAGTAAAACTTTTCTAGGCGCGACTAAGGTGTAAATCCGTACAAATGCAACGGAAATAGCGTTACGCCTGAACTGCACGTCATTCGCTCTCGATTATATCCTTTCTTTTCGGGTCGATTGTGATTAGTCGTCGCGTATGTGAATAGAGATCTGTCGTTGTATGCGTACCGGCATCAACGTTGTAGGCGTACCGATATCAACAAGGAAATCGGCATATATAAATAAACATTTTAAAGTTACATTGTAGTACAAATCTTGAATTAATGAAAAATGCCCGGATCAAAAAAATATTTTACTATGTTCCTTAAAAATAATAAAACAAATTAAACATTTGTGCCGTGTACTAAACGTAAGTTTATTGATTAAAAATTATTTCGTAGTTTCTAGAAATCCTTGAAGTTGTTATTATTAAAATGGAAAATATTTTTTAGGCAAGACAGATATTACAGCTGTTCAAAGAATGAGATTGTATCGCTAGCGAAAAAGTAAAAAAAGACAAGCAGTCAATGAATGTATGTTAGTTTTAATTACATGAAGTTCTTCAAACACAATTATTACATGATGAGTGAAGTTGTGAAAACAATATTTGTTTAGGCGTTGTTTAACATAATCCACTGTGTGATCGAATACTAAAGCATTTATTAATCAGCAATTACTTTATTTCTCTAATAAAGGTTCATTTTTAAATGCTAATTACAATGACAAACTGATCATGTCATATTTGAAGTATGGTTCTAATTACATTACTGTTTTTAAATATTATAAAAAAATTTAATGCTACTATAAATATATAATTTATAATTTATCATTATATAAAAGTGTATAATGATTGACGACACTAATAAATGTGTGCATCACGAGTGTTACCA